CTACTTTATTTTTCTTTAATTTATCGTATGTTTAATAAATACAATAATTTTTTATTTAATAATAAAAACTTTGATTCATTGAATGATTGACATTAAATTTCCAGTAATATACTGTAGGTGTGTGTATATATATATATATTATTCATTTTTAGTACTTAACTTTTTAACATTTAAGTTAAAATAAAAAATTACTTAGAAATATCTTTAATAAGCAATTTTGAAAATAATTTTATGAAAATAATTTTCATGATATAGAGAATATATCTGTAATTTAAAAAATTTTTCAGTCCATTTTTATTTAATAAATATCATTCAAAAAAGGCTTTATTTGATGAATTTTTTAATAAAATATAATTTAAAAAATTTTTCAGTCCATTTTTATTTAATAAATATCATTCAAAAAAGGCTTTATTTGATGAATTTTTTAATAAAATATAATAAAATTGAGATTTACTATACTTTACTTTGTTTTATTAAAAAATTTCATACTGTATATAATATTCAGAATCTTATTCAAAAAATATTTGTATATATAAAACTGAATATTATACTTGGAGTAATATATATCCTACAGATGATATTATATTTAGGAAGTATATTGTATCACATTGAAACGAATCAAATGATAGTAATCTAATTTGAATTAGGCCACTGGTTCCCGAGGTATTACGTAAAAAAGTTAAAATTTATTTCTAGTTTATTTCCGATTTTAATTTTAAAATCGGAAGAAAACTGGAAACCAAAAAAAGCCGGTTTTTCTTCCATTTTACATTGGAAAATAAAAAATCCGGTTTTCTTCCAATTTTCAAATCGGATTTTTTATTTCGGAAATTTTCTGGAAAAAACCAGAATCGATTATGCAGAGATAAAATTGCAAGGAACGAAAAATCTACCCTAATGCAGTTTACACCAGTCGAATCTTTACTGTAAAAATCCAAATTAATGAATACGTCGTCTCTACATTCATATCGATATCGATATTACGTATATCAACTATTTATGCAAGCATGTTCCAAAAAAAAGTTCCAAGTACATGTACATGTATGTTATCGGTACATGTACATGTATATGCATGTAAGATCTATAGTCATGGGGACAGTGCAGGATATGTATATCGCGCGGGATAGTTGGAACGGGTTATAGCATAACTGCATTGTTTAGTGTTAAATAAATCTAGATAACCTATCGCTAAATCCACGAACCCATACCTTAACCCTTTTCCAATACAGTACAGTACAATGAATTGTACTGTTTAGCGTTAGGATATATTCCGAACCCATCCCCTACCATTTTCCAATACAGTACAATACGTACAGTACAATAAACGAATGGTACAGTTATAGGATAGTACATGTAGTTTCCTCCGTTGGAACGTAGAAAATGTATACACTGTAGTCTACAAGTTCTTTATAGAATTTTAAAAGAATATACAGTATTTGAAATTTTCGTAGAAAAAAAGAATTTTTGAATCTTCGAACTTGTAAAATGAAAGCGGAGACAAATCATTGTGATAATGGTAATTTGATAGACGTGAATTTAATTAAGAAGCTATGCATCGTATAATTCTCTAATTAATATTAATTTAAACCTCAGAAGAAATTAACAATTTTGATCAAAATACGATGGGTAATATAATATGTTATTTAATGCTTTTTTGTTTAATTAACAAATTACTTAGCCTGACAACAGATTCTACAAATTTCCTTACAGAAATAGAATTCATCAAAAAATTAGGAAGCATTGATGTCTACAAATATTTTACATTTGCAAAAGAAAATGAAATAGCGAACCAAAAGATCTACAGTTTGCGTGAAAACAATCAAATTCTTCAACAAAGCTTAAATAAAATTAAGCAATCGTATGAAATGAAGACGAAAGAATATTTAAAACTCAGCGCAGTCTACAATGAGCTTTACAAAGACTACACTAAAGTACGCTCCGTTTACAATCAATTGGTCAACGAGACTCAAGTGCTTAAAATCAATGCGGGAAATCTCAATACTTTGAATAAGGAGGAGGTTGAACCTTTAAAATCAGAGAAGATTCAATTACCAAGTAAGAAAGAAACTTGCGAACAAGGTAACAAGAAGAATCAAGGAATCAATAATTTGAATGAGGAAGTTGAATCTTCGAAATCAGAAACGATTCAATTGCAAAATAAGAAAGAAGCTTTGGAACAAGATAACAAGAAGAGTCAAGAAATAATCAATAATATGAATGAGGAGGTCGAATCTTTGAAAACAGAAACGATTCAATTACAAAATAAGGAAGAAATTTGGGAACAAGGCAATAAGAAGAATCAAGAAATAATCAAGAATTTGAATGAGGAGGTTGAATCTTGGAAAACAGAAACGATTCAATTACAAAATGTGAAAGTAACTTGGGAACAGGATAATAAGAAGAATCAAGCAATCATCAATAATTTGAATGAGAAGAGCGAATCTTTGCAATCAGAAGTGATTCAATATCAATCCACTCGCAACGTTCGTTGGGACGACACGGATCTGAATAATTCTGCCAACCTTACCAAAGATATTCGTAAACTTCAAGATTCTTTATGTGATTTCATTTTTCTCAAGGGAAAAGCATATGTTGTCAAAAAATACAATATTCAACAATTATTTAAGATACTAAAGACAAGAGCCAACATCAATCATAAACCTTCAGTCAGTGCGGCCTTGCAACAGTTGGTGATCAAAAAAATTATAAGATTTTACGATGAACATATGCTTCAAGATAGAAGCCGTACATATTCCACCGATAACAATACGCTTGAAAAAAGGCTCGTTTCATGCGCGGATAATTTAACAAATATGGTTAAAGAGTTTACCAATACTCGAGAAGGAAATGATAACATCACTGGCATTACCGAAATCAAAGTCCGTCAAGAAATCTATACTATGTTGGGGTATAGAGGTTTCGGATATAAAGGATGTCGATTTATATTGGATTTAAAAAGAAGACTCCTCAAAACGTTGGATAATTATCGGTCAATCAACGATAGCGATAGTACCATATCTAAAGAGCAAGATCGTGCAGAAGAAATTGTACTTGGTGTTATCCGTATTCTCAATTTTCGTCTTTTAACCCAAGAGCCAGTCGCTACTATTCGGTGGTTCGAAAATGGAGAGCCTTTGAATGAAACTTTAATGGAATGGGTTTCAACCGACGAAGATGAAACGAACATGGTTGTCGATATTTGTGCATTTCCAGCAATCGGAGTTTACCTCGATGATCCTACAAAACGGCAAATTTACACCAAAGCTAAAGTAGAAATTTGCAACATGTCAAACAAGATATCAAACGCTTCCCAAGAAGGCATTATGCGTATATTGAAAGCCTATACCAATTACAACTCACTCTCGTTATAAGAGATTTTGATCTCTTATCGAGAGATTCTTATAGATTTTTAAATAGATATATTTCTTATTTTGTATAGAATTTTACTGTAATTATAAATAACTATTTAGATAACTTCCTTGATTGTGGTTGACTAAAGACTCGTTTTGGGTTGCGTTTGTAACTAAGAACCAGTGTGACCCGAAACAGGCGCACCAAGTGAATTTTGTTCATAAAGCTGTTGCAAAAAATTATCAGCAGAAAAATTTCCGAATGCTTTACTCGAAATGGGAAACATGCCGCCGAGAGTAGTTCAAAAAAGGTTTCACTATATAGTAGGATCTGAGCCATCAGTATATAAATTAGGAAATCAGGCTCTGTGTAAATTTCGGAGACTGGATACATGGTGAAATCCGTTAACCCGAAGATGGATAAACTGAAGACCAATTACAGTAGTCACCACCTTTGGAAAAGTGGAATTGGGTGACTATAGTGACTTCTGTGACTTCCGTTAATCTGAAGTTGTGCTTATTAATGCACGTGATAATTAAGTTAAACGCGTGATGTCAGATTAACGTGAATTTTTATCATGATATTGTTCATTATTGGTTTAGGCAGTGTTGGACAGTGTCAAGTGACCTATTAAAATAACCTTATTAAAATTTAGTGACCAGTGACCAAAAGTCACTTGTCAAATAGCAAATGAGCTAATTTTGTCCAGTAGATTCGGATGAAAACTGGGAAATATTTGATTTTTGTGCAATAAGGGTTAATTGTTGCGCATTTTGGCGTGTACAAGAAACCAAAGAAAGATAAGGACGTGCTACTTCGCGAGAGACAACGATACAATTTTCTCGAATAATTTAGAACTGAGATCAACAGAAATTATCGACTTACTTCTTATTACAGTAGGGACCATAAGTATCCGACCGCCGGCATTACCCAAAATCATACTATAACGATCACCCAAATTTTCTGGGCGTAAAATGTAATACGACTCCTGGTCGCTTCTATATCGGATATTGCATGTTTATAAACTTTCATGCACCAAATACAATAAATCGGTCACTTTAGGAGATAATATCTCGACGTCCAGTGACCCGGTTTGAGCGAAAATACTACTATTCGATTGTCTAATCTAGATAAATCAAATGGTGAGATTTTTGC